CAGCCGAGACAGTGTACCATGATGCTCCTGCACAGCAATAATGGAGCTGGGCGGGCCAGCTGCTAAATACTTGATGAGGGGCCGCCACTCGACACGTTCACCGTCGTGATGAGGCCTTTGACCACCCTCCCGTCGCCCCCACGCCCACCTGCATGGGAAAGATGGGCAGGTGGCTGTCCTGACACATTTTTCGAAACTGCTACGAGCTCCACTGGGGACGAGAGACTCGCCTGCGGCCGCTGGTACCCTCTGCCACCCGATGCCACGGAGGGCGAGGGTGGTGAGCAGTGCATACAGCCGCTGGCGTCTGAAATCGAAGTAGACGAGACGCATGTCGACCAGGTCCCGTCACGAGGAGGTAGCACATGTGGCGACCTCTGCTGAGCCTGCTTCGCAGCAGGCCCAGTGAGTGCGCCGCTCGACGCCGAGGAACCAGCCGCCCCCGAACTCCCAGCGCTGCATGCCGAACCCCCCGAGGTCGAGGTAGTGGGCAGAGAAGAACCTGAGAACGTACCAGACATCATCATGGCAACCGACAATAACCATCGTAGCACAAACATGATAATCCAGCAACTAGTACGGGCTCCAGGCCTTCGCCCCACTGAAGGCTTTCTTGGCCATCGCCCGCAACTCTTCAACCTCAGACGGTAGCTCACCGTCGAATCCGACTGCCGATAAACCTTCCCGCAGCTTGTCCTCGTCCATCCCATCAAAGTCAGGCTCCGTGAACTTCGGCCTCTTCTGGGACGGTTCGCCATCAGATACAGCGGCACCCCCACCTCCACTAGGCGCCTGCACAAGTGCCACCAGCTTCTCCACCAACGGGTTGGCCTTGACCGCGACGAGCAATTCTCCGTGGACGCCAGCCGCCTCCAGCAACGCATCCAGCACCGACGTGTCGAGCTGCCCACCAGCAACAGGCTTGGCCCCATCAGGAGGCTGTGGAGCCGAGTTGCCCAGCTGCTGCAGCTGGCCTTCAAGCTCCACGATGACACCCCGCTGGGCCGCTGCCTTCGACTCCGCCTCTGCCGCATCCTTCTGCAATTGCGAGAGCTCAGCCGCCTTAGCAGCTGCAACCTTCTCCAGCTTCTCCCACTTCGAAGTCTCATTCTGCAGCTTCGTTGACAACTGCCGAATCTGCGCACACAGCGGTTGCTTAGAACGTCGCTTCTCCAGCAAAGCACCCTTTGCCGCCAGCGCGTCGGCCGCCATCTGCTCCATGCCTGGCACGCCGACACACGCCGCGTGGATGCCCTCGTGAGCTGCGACCTGCACCATAATCTTCGCGTCCTCGTCGTCCTCCGACTTGCCCTGCTCCGTAAGCTGCACACCAGGTTGCGCCCCACCAGGAAGCTTCTGGGCATTCTGCTTGCGGAGCTCTGCGACCTCCGCCTGCAGCCGAGCAAGCAGCTTGGCCGTGTCCGATGGCGTCGCCCATGGAGGAGAGCGCTCTGGCTTGGCTTTGCGCACCGACGGGACCTTGGGCTCAACATTGCGAAGGAAACACGAGCCCTTGCGCATCCCACCACAGCCATCTTTGACCCGCCCCGCACAGTACATCTTGTACCCTGGGTTGACCCAAGGCTCACCAGAGCGCTGCACACAAAAGCGACAAAGCCAATCCAGCTTCTCAGGCGGAGGGGCCATGGCTGCGACGACTGGGGAGTCAGGTTGGAGGCTCGCGAACCCCTCGACTGAGGGACCTCCGTACACACAGTGATCTGCCGCGGACTAGCGGTATCCGTTTTTGCCAATGCGGGCTCAGCCCGCCAAAGCATAGGTCTTGAGCCAAAATGGCGACGGAGGAAGTAGGAGGAGGAGGAGGAGGAGGAGGAGGAGGAGGAGGAGGAGGAGGAGGAGAGAGAGAGAGAGGAGTGGGAGGAGGAGAGTGGTGGGGGTGGAAGGAGGAGGAGAGAGAGGGAGGAGGAGGAGGAGGAGAGAGAGGGAGGAGGGGGGGGAGGAGGAGGAGGAGGAGGAGGAGGAGGAGGAGGAGGAGGAGGAGGAGGAGGAGGAAAAGGTCCCTCCACGGCTCCCAAGAGGGCCTGGAGAGAGATCCAAAAGGGCCAATAGACATTACAAAGTAGCCACTTGAGGACCCCAGTGCCTTCAACGAGGGCCCAAGAGGGCCCGAAGAGGACCCGAAGAAAACCTCACGAGGACCCCAAGAAGACTCCAAGATGGTTCCAAGAGTTATCGTCATCACTGTTCTCTTACACCTCCTCTTCGTTTTCCTCGACATCGTCCTCTCCCTCGTCCTCGTCTTCGTCGTCGTCGTCGTCGTCCTCCTCCTCCTCCTCCTCCGCCTCCACCTCCTCCTACGCCTCCTCCTCCTCATCATCCTCCTCCTCATCCTAATCCTCCTCCTCCTCATCCACATCCTCCTCCTCGACATCGTCCTGACCCTCGTCCTCGTCTTCGTCGTCGTCATCGTCGTCCTCCTCCTCCTCGTCCTCATCCGTGTCCTCATCCTTCCTCCTCATCTTTCCGAAGACAGCGGCCGCCCCGCACCGAGAGGAGCTCAAGAAGAACCCAGGAGCTTGCGTGCGACGGCTTACCCGGCTCTGTTCTTCAACGACATTCGGCGGCAAGCCTGGGGAGGAAGCGAGAATAGAAACAGAAAAACGCTATGGGACACAAATGTTTGGCGCCTCGCGCAAATTTCGTCAACCTGCGGCGCTGACCCCCCTCCCTGGCGCGCGGAGCGCGCCAAGGGCGGCGCCCGAGGCGCCGCCGGGGGGCCAGCCAGGATCCGAGAATTTCGTGCGGAGCGCCAAAAGTTTATGTTGATGGCGTTTGTTCTCCTTCGAGAGAAGGAGAAAGCCTTCTCAGAAGGCTCGGAAGCCCCCCGCCCGGCCTTCTGAGAGGTTCCCCAAGCCTTCCCCGCAGACATAGAAAACTTCCTCAGAAGGCGCAAGGGTTTCCGAGAAGTCCCGCCGCCTTCTGAGAAGGCCTTCAACTTCTCACGTCACCCCCTCGCTCGCTGCCGAGACGTGCGTCTCCAGCACCCTGATCGACGCAACTCGCAGGGGCATAGCTGCTGGATGTGCTGGATGGCCTGGGAGGGATGCGCGAAGCGTCAAGAGTTTGAGCGTCATCGCCCTTTCGGGCGGTCCACGCTCCAAGACGGCCAAAGGGGGCCCCAAAGATTGCTCTGAGATGGAACAGAAGGCCCCGAGGTGCCCCCCAGAGGCTCCGGAAACGCCCCCTGGATGCCACCAGAGGCTACCAAGAGACCACAAGACGCCAGCAAGGGCCCTCCAAGATACATCCACGACCCAGGCACCGTGGCGGGATGGGCCGATGGACAGTGGATGATCCGCCGCCCCCTGTCGATTCATCGCAGGAGTGCCTGGCGTGCTAGACCCTTTCGGTTTTGGTTTTGGTTCTTTTCCAGAAAGAACTCCCCTGGGGCTTCGGCGCGTCCCGCTGGGGTCCCGGGAAGGACCCTCCGGGACCTCAATCCTGCAAAAAATCCTCAAAGACGGCTCAAGATGGCCTCCAAGATTGCCACTTTGGCCCAAGATGGCCTCCAAGATGGTCCAAGATGGCCTCCAAGTCCGCCCAAGATGGTCTAAGACGGCCTCCAAGACGGCCTAAGAGTCCAAGGTACCTCCAAGTTCGCTCAAGAAGCCTCCACGACGGCCCAAGAGGCCTCCAAGAGCTCCTCCAGGAGGGCCCGAAGAGGACAAAATCATGAATTGTCCTTAGGTTTTGAAAGGATTTGGGCATTTGCTTCTTCTCGGCATTGCGACGGCTCAAGACGGCCCAAAAGGCCCCCAAGATCGCTCCAAGATCGCCCACGAGGCCTCCAAGATGGCCCAAGAGGCCCTCAGGACGGCCCCAAGAGGGCTCCAAGACGGCCAAGATAGCCTCCAAGACGCCCAAGATGGCCTCTAAGACAGTCCTGGAGCACCCCAAGAGGGCCCCAAATCGGCCCAGAGAGGCCCCCAAAACGGCTTCCGACGGCGTCAGACGGGCCAGGAGCCCACCAAGATGGCCGAAGTTGGCTCGAAGCTGGCCCCAGGCAGCCCAAGAGGCATCCAAGAGGGCATCCAGGAAGGTCCGAAAAGGCAAACAAAACACTGATTTTCCTTAGGTTTTTGACGGATTTTGACATTTGCTTCCTTGCGGCCTTCCGACGGCCCGAGACGGCCCAGAAGCACCAAAAGATCGCCCACGAGGCCTCGAGGATGGCCCAGAACGGCCCAAGAGGCCCCCCAAGACGGCCCCAAGAGGCCCCCAAGACGGCCCAGGAGGCCTTTAAGGCGCCCAAGATGGCCTCCAAGACGGCCGTGTAGCATTCCAAGAGGGCCCCAAGTCGGCCCAGAGAGGCCCCATAAACAGCTTTCGACGGCGTCAGACGGGCCAGGAGCCCACCAAAACGGCCGCAGATGGCCCTAAGATGGCCCAAGACGGCCCAAGAGGCTTCGAAGAGGGCCTCCAGGAAGGCCCGAAAAGGCCAAAATCATTGATTTCCAATGAGTTTTTGAAGGATTGTGGCATTTGCTTTGATTCGGCCTTCCGACGGCCCGAGACGGCCCGAGTGCCTCCAAAGATCGCCCAAGAGGCCCAAGACGGCCCCAAGGGGCCCCCAAGACGGCCCAAGAGGCCTCCAAGACGCTCAAGATGGCCTCCAAGACGGCCCGAGAGCCCTCCAAGACGTCCTCCAAGAAGGCTCGATGGCCTCCAGACGGCCAAGATTACCTTCAAGATGCCCACGTGGTCCCCGAAGGCTTTCCAAACCGATTCGGGGAACACCTGGTCCGATAGCTTGGCAGGTCTGGCCTCAACGTTCGGCCACATAGGCGCTTCCAAAAAGGCAGGGGGCGGCGGTGATTCGCCGTAGGCGTCTTCGATCGATCCTGTTGAAGGATACCAGTCGCACGAAGATGCAGAATCAAAGGTAAAAGAAATCTGAGTATGTACCATGATAGTAACAATCGCTCAAGCGTCACTGCCGTCCCACAATGGAAAGAGAAACATGTTCAAGTCCGTCCCGCCTCGAGCTCCCCGCGCTGAAACCAGTGCACCTCAGAGGGCAAATGGAATGCGGCCAGAACACACACTATTCGGCAGAAGCCTATAGATGGCACAAGTGCGACCTCCTCTCGATCTCTAACGCGGTCCACAGATTCGCCTCGACACGCTTGCGCGTGCGCCTGCATTAGCTCTGATGCATGGGGGGCGGTCCCTAACGCCTCTACGTGTGCGGCGTCGGCGCCGAGAAAGGCCAAGCTCCCCGGCTTCCCCGCGGGTTCCACGCCCCGACGGTGAGGAGAGCGGGTGTAGCACTTTCCGGCTGCCTGAGAGTACCATGCCTGCCCACGTCCCAGCCGGCTGTCCGCCCGAAAACTGAAAACGATGTGCGTGATTCCAGGTCTGGATGGCTCGGCGGCTCGACACGGCGCTGGGAAGGGGGCCCAAATTCGGTCAGGACTCTGATCGGATAATTGATTATTATGTTTCGCTGTGGGCCGCTGCTGGTGACCACTCTGTCCAGGCACGGTGCTGACTGAATGAATGATTGGACCGCTGCCAGTCAAGCTTCCGAGGAGATTACCAACTAGAGTTGAAAATCAGCTGAACATCATTCATGACCTCACTGGTGCTCCCCCAGTCTCCCACGTTGAAGCATGTCTGCTTGGGGGCTTCCCTTGACGCAGCCTCAAAAACGTGTAACAATCATAGGCAGACAAGATTCCTTTCAGCCAAAATGTTCTGCCGAATGGGGTCCACTGGCCGCCACGTTTTCGGAGCCCTCTTTGCCTCTGGCGACGCTTGGAGCGCGAAACCTCACTGGAAGCGATCTGAAGGTGTCGGCTGGCATCTTTTTTGCCCGCCCAGAAAATACGAGCATGGGCTCTGTCAAGGGTCAAGCGGAACGCGTCAGGGTCCTTCAGAACGACCTCATTCGCCACCGCGCTGATCGCCAAAAACTGCTTGCCGAGCGGGTGAGTGCGCATAACTCGCTGAGCAGGGTGGACCTTCTGTTGCCAAATCGCCCGAGAGATGGTGCAGAGGATGATGAGCCTCGCGAATGGTTTTTTTTCTGTCGCTGCCTCGGGTTATCACACCACGCATCGATCGAGCGGCCTCGAGAGGTCGAGTCGGAGAGGAGAGTAGAGCGCCTGAGGTGGAGACAGTAAGGCCTCCAGAGGACAACCCGTCGACTCACACAACCAGAATTGAGCCAAGCCGTTGCACAAGCAAAAAATCGTAACAGCAGAAGTGGGGCTCAGAATTTTGTGAACCAAGCGCGGAGTTCACAGGTGCTCGGTATTGCCTGAGGCGAAAATAGTTCTTGGTCCCCCCATGCGCACCGCTTCTCCCTCCTCCCGCCTTGTCCCTTTGCTTCCTGCGCTGCCCTGCTCTTCCGCCCTGTCATGTCCTCCCTATCTCCTCCTCCTCCTCCTCCTCCTCCTCCTCCTCCTCCTCCTCCTCCTCCTCCTCCTCCTCCTCCTCCTCCTCCTCCTCCCACGCTGCGTTCGCCACGAGGGAGCCTCCACCTTCCCTCCCCCCCGCTCCTCTGCCCTGCCTTCCGCGTCGGGCCTCCCCCCCCTCTGCGCCTCTGCCTGCGGCCCTCCTCCCTCCCTGCCCGTGGGTCCACGGGGGGCAGGCGGGGCCAGAGGGCCCCAGGACGAGAGAGCGGCGGGGAGAGGCAGGGCGGGAGGGAGGCAGGGCGGGGGAGCTCGCGCGCGCCGCCACCGCCGCTCCCGCCGCCCACGGCCCGCCCACGTGCTCTTGAAGCACAGGGCGGCGCCTCCTTCTGCCCCCCCGCCCTCTCCTCTTTCGCCGTCGTCGTGAGAGTGGTGGTCGATGTCGCTCCCTCCCCTGTTCCTTGGGAGGGCCCCGTCGCCGCCACGTCACTCCCGCCGCCAACGGCACGCCCACGTGCTCTTGAAGTGCACGGCGGCGCCTCGTTCTGCCCCCCCCCTCCTCGTTCTCGGGGGCGCGCCAACATGGACTAGCGATCCATGGATCTTGCGCGGGGTCTCCAAATCCACGGATCGGGGTAGGTGCCCTCCCCAGAATGCGGCCGGTGCCGCCTCGCTCGGCGACAGGAATCCGCGATTTCCCATGGAAACGGGACCTGTCGCTAAAGCATGCCACCTTGATGCATGTTTGCGATCGCCTGACTTTCGTCGTCGTCGTCGTGAGAGTGGTCGATGTGGATCCCTCCCCCTTTTGCTTGGGAGGGCCCCCTCGCCCCTCGCCCCCAGAGGAGGCCATGGGGGCCTTCCCCTCAAACTGTGCGACAGCAGGGCTCGAAGAGAGCCTCCTGCAGCGGGGCCCACCCCACGGCCTTCTCTTATGAGGCCCTGGGGGGGACGCCCCAGGAAGGGGCCCGCGTTCATGCATTCGCAGGGGAACTCCACAGTTCACGGCTTTCTGCACAGGGGCTGCCACTCCACTCGGATTCGCCTCCAACGCGCTTAACCTTAAACTCCTTATCCTCCTTATCCTCCTTATCCTCCTCCTCCTCCTCCTCCTCCTCCCTCCTCCTCCTCCTCCTCCTCCTCTCCTCCTCCTCCTCCTCCTCCTCCTCCTCCTCCTCCTCCTCCTCCTCCTCCTCCTCCTCCTCCTCCTCCTCGACCTCCTCCTCCTCCTCCTCCTCCTCCTCCTCCTCCTCCTCCTCCTCCTCCTCCTCCTCCTCTCTTCCTCCTCCACCTATCGTACCGTATCTTCGTCCCCCTCTCCGCCTCCGCGTCTGCGGAGGGCCACGAGCCCGGGGGGGGGGGGAGGCAGAAGGGGGATCGGCCATCGACCCAGGGTCCAGACCTCTGGGCGTCACTGGCCCTCCCTGGACGTCGCGGTCCGTCGTCCGTCCACCGCTGGCCGTCGTCGCCAGCGTCGGCCGCCGCAGTCCGTCGACCGCCGCGGCCGCTGCAGCGCCCGTCGAACGCCCGACGTCGACCCTCGGCCGCCGGCCGTCGGCCGCGCCGCCGCCACTCGCACCTCGCGCGTCGCCCGTCGGCCGCGGGCCGCCGGGCGTCGGCCGCCGGCGCCCCGACGCCGCGCCGCCCGGCGCCGGCCCGGCCTGCGCCCGGGGCGTTGCCCGGGGGCCGCGCCGCCGCCCGCGTGTCGTGGTGACTCGCCGCGGCCTCGGGCGGGGCGCGGGGAAGCACACGGCCGGCTCGCGCGCTGCGTGGTTGTGCTGACGCCGCGTGGGCTGCCGACGCCGCGCGGATCGATGGACCTCGAACGATCGCGGTTCTCCGATGGCGCAGGTCACTCGACACCGGCCGATTCAGGGCAACTGGCGGCGTTTAACCTTGGAACGGCCGAGATGGGGACGCGGGGCCGCCGCCGCGTCAACATGGTGCAGACCAAACGTACTTGTGCTACTCGTCCTCCCTGGAGGCGTGCGCCCGACTTGATCAAGTAGGTTTAATAATTCGTAAGAACACGCGCGCAAGCATTTTGGGAAAGCTGATGTTGCAAAACACTGCTAATTATTTATGTTTGCTACGGGTTTGGGGCATTCGGTTCTGAAATCCATACGAAACCGAAGGTTCCTGAAGGATTTTAGCGTGCGTTCGCGAAGGCGCGCGCCCGCATGTCCTCCAAACTGTTGCAAGGGATTCTGGCGACAGCACGCGAGCAAGGGCGTTCGAATGATGCCAACATGCGCGCGCAAGAGGCACGTTTGGGAGAATCACATGAACATGATGAAAATCAATAATTTTCTGCAACACACCCGCAAGAGCGCGAGCGAAAGCTTTGTTGCAACTTCCTGTCGCGCAGCCACTGGTTTGTTATATGTGCTCGGAACACTCGATTTTGCACCCCCCACGAAACCCAAACCTCGTGACAGATTTCGGCATGCGCGCGCGACGACGCCCGCGCGTGCACTTCGTCCCCATTTTTCGCAAGGGTTCTTCCGACAGAGCACGGCCGCGCGGGAGGGGAAAGTGGGAGAACCCCAAAGGCGTGCACTTTGAGCAGGCGCCACGCGCGCGCGTGCTTTACATGGCCCCCCATACCCGACGCCTAAGAGGTTGACAACAACACCAATATCGGCGGCGCGCGAAGGAAAAGTGCCCCGATCTCGGCGCTGGCGGAAACACATGGCTTCCTGATTACGCGGCCGAAAGATTGCCGCCAACACCGAGATCTAGGATCGTCTTCCCCCGGTGGAGGCAACCCCCCTGCGTTGGTGTTCCCCCCAGCAGAACACCAACCCCCACCGCCGGGAAACACCCGCGCCCGCGGCCCCTGGACGGAGCCCACCCCTACGACCGCGAGCGAGCGGCCACCAAGGGCGAGCTTACGGCAGCCGTCGAGGCCGCCGACTGTAGACTGGGCGGCGCGTCTGGAAGGAACCAGCCCTGCGCGTTGTCCTCGAGGAGCTGCAAGAGCTTCTGGACTGGCACGGGTAGCACGGACGCGCTGCACGCCAGGACGGGTTTCGCGACCCGTGCCCCAGGATGGCGAACACTGGATTTCCGAAGGGGCCGATTGTGCCTGCCCGCGTAGGCAGCGCCATCGCCGCCGCGTGCGACTTCACTGCCGCCGCCGTCTCACGCGCCAGTCCCGCCGCGCGCAAGGCGCAGCGGACCTGCGCGGGCCCCTCGCCCGCGGTCGCCGCGCCAGGCGGCGACTCTTGGGCGCGCGCTGCCCACGGGAGGGCACCGCGCATTCGGCGCCCATGAGCCCAAGCTTCTGCAAGTCGTCGCGGCACCGACTGGCCCACTCTGGCGGGGCCGCGGAAACACCCCTGGCGGGCGCCGCCGAGGAGATGGGAGATTTACTTCGACAGCTCGCCACCTCCGTCGCTCTTCGTCTCGTCGAACACCCCGTAGAAGACCCCCCCCGCGGGGAAGTTGCCAGCCGTCGTCCAACGCGCTGGCTGGTCCCAAGTGAAATCGTCATTACCGAGGCCGCCGAACAGTTTCCGCATCTCGTTGGAAAGCGATATCCGGATCAAAATGTCTGCGCTGGCGCTGATGACCGCCTCCATCTGCCGCGCCTCGCCGACGCCGAAGACCCTGCTGGACTTCCGCTTGCGAATCCGATTGTTACACCTGCGCGTTGCTGCCGCGGTGGCGACCCCGACGCGGCCCTCTGGGCGAGCCGTTGCCAGGTCAGCACCGACGGCGTGGAACGCGACGGAAGCCAGCCTCGCCCACGGCAGTCGGCGCGGCACCTGCCTCGCGAAGGTGCTGCGTGAAGCTCGCCAGCTTGAGCGCCGCGGCGGCCCGGCAATTCTCGGCGGCGCGCCCGCCCTGCAACCTGGCCCAATCCAGAGACTTGCCAGCGTTGCGCGCGTGAACCACCAGTGCCCTGTGGGACCGCCTCCTGAGCGCGGCCCTCAGACGCGCGCGGCCACGCCACCCCCCATTTTCCAACAGGCAGCAAGGGCACCCTTGTTCCTGCAACGGGACCGCCATCCAAAACTCCACTGCCTTCGTCGCCCCCCTGTCTCTGACGTCCGCCCACGCGCGCGTCGGGGCGAGCGGCGCCGACCCGAACCGCCGCGCGCGCGCCGCCCGCAGTCGGCCGGCGGCCGCGCGCCAGCGGGCGGCCGCCGGGGGCGCCTCCCGCGCAGGCGGGCGGGCCGGCTGCTGGCAGAGAGCGGCGCCGCCACGGGGCCTGGGCGGCGGCTGCTTCCGAAGGCGCCTCGGCGACCAGCGCGCATCCCCACGGGGGGCGACCCGCAGGCGCAGGGCGCGCCCGTCGCCCGAGCCGCCCGAAAGGCGCGGCCCGCGCCGCGGCCCAAGCTCCGCGGATTCCTTCCCAGGAGCTTCCACTGCGCCGGCGCGGGTCTATGCGCGCAGCGGCGGGCAGGCACAGTGCGCTGTCAGCGCGCGCCCAGTTGCTGGCGGCGGGCGCGCGGCATGCGCCAGTTGCCGACCAGCCTCCGGTGCCCCATGTGCCGCGCCGCGGAATGAGCCGCACGTGGGAGGACACCCCCACCGCCGGCCACCTTGCTCTCGCGGCCAATGGGGCCCACAAGATTCAAGACGCGCTGGCTGAGCAAAGATTCCCACGACCGCGGCCCCCCCCCAGGGTGCGCGGAGCGCGCTTGACCCAACATGACCACGACAGCGGTCAAATTCCCCTGGGCCCCTCCGCCCGACTCCGCCAAGTCCTGCAAGCCCGTGCCCGACCCTGCCCAAAGCCGCGAAAACTGATGATTTGTTATACACGAGCGCGCTCGCATAGCATTCCTTGCAGAAGATGGAGGGAGGGGGTCGCTAGGGGACCGCCTGGGATGACACGGACTCAAAACTAGGAAAAGCGATGGGGCATAATAAAATGCGCACAGCAATACAACGGGGCGGGCCGTTAAGCACGGGGGGAGATCCGAATGCTCTCTTGGAATGAAAAATCTGCGTTGTGCTATCTGCACGGCGCAATCTACGTTACGCTTGCTACTTGGTGCAATCTACGTCGCGCAGCCCAGGCTGTGCAAAATATGTGGAAACAGCCATGCCGAGCTTGAATTACCCACTCCACTACTCACGCAAATATCCCACCCACACAACCGCAACTTGGTTTGCAAAACGCACGCGGCGGCGATTGCGATGACTGCTCCGCGTTGGCTGGCGCATCGCTGCGGCCGCGCTTGCGCGCGCGGGCTCGCGCGCAGAGCGGCCACCTAGTCTGGCGCTACCGACGCGGCCGCGATGGCGCTGACCGCCAGGCACTTTCCAGCGCGTCTCGCAGGCCGCTCCGACGCGCGGGCACGTCAGCACGAGTCGATGACTCGGGCGGGCGGAGTACCATGGCGACGCGGACAATGGCTGACACGATGATGATTGTAGCGATGCTGGTCACGGCGGCGACGACGACGACGACGGCATGGCCAGTGACGGCGCCGATGCGAATCACGCTAGCGACGATGATGGCGTCACGCGTCACCGATGAGGACGGTGGAAGGACTTCGAGATGCGCGCGCAGCCGACGGGCGCGAGTGGCCCGCATGGCATCCTTTGACGGGGATCGCCGCCCCCCCCCCAAAGCACACGCGCAAGGGCGCCCGACTGATTTCGGCATGCCCGCGCGAGAGGCCCGTTTAACAGCGTTTGATGACACTGTTGAAAGCCAATGTTTTTTCGCGAGACTTCGCTGGAGATCGCGCGCGTTCTCTCGGCCTCGTTTTCGGATATAGCGTCGCGGAATAACTCGTTTTTTTATATATGCAGTCGGGACACTCGGCATGAAACCCACGCGGCTCCCAAGGACCTTCAAAGATTGCGAGATAAGCGCGCGACGGCGCGCGTCAGGCTTTTTTCTGTTCGGGGGAACTTGGCCGCGTTATCGGTCGGGCGGCTACGTGGCCGCCTTCGCCGATTCGTCGCCGCCTCGTCGCAGCGCGTCGTCTGCGCCGCGTTTCTGGTCTGACGGCTGCGCGGCCGCCGTCACCGCCCCGTCGCCCCCCCGTCGCCGCCTCGTCGCCGGCCGTCGCCGGCGTTGGATTGCACCACATACAGAAACTGCTTCGCGCCCGCGGCGCGCTATTTAATCGCTCGCCAGATGTAGCTTGCACCACATATTTGCTACTTTGCGAAAGGAGCATTAGGAACTACACCCCTCCCCTCCGCACCTGTTCGCATGGCAGTTCACAGATGAGTCCGCCCCATCGCCCATCCAAAATACGACTTCACACCACCGCAAGCAGGCTGGAATTCCCCCCCTTATCCTCTACAACTAACACTATGCGCGCACACTTGCTGATAAAAAAGTGTTCAACAATCCCTTGCAACAAAAAAAAGACGAAACGCACACGCGCGCGCCGTCGCGCACGCATGCCGAAATCCTTTAACAACCTCCGGTTTCGCAAAGATCTCAACATCGAGCGCCACGAAAACATGAGAACACATGTCGTCGCAACAGCATTTTACGATTAAAAGTTGCGCTCGCGGGCTTGCGATGAGGATTTTCGGAATTTCCACTACATGCGCCCAATCTGGCCTCTCGCGCGCGCGTCGATATCGTTCGAACATCATTGCGCACGTGTTGTCGCAAGAACCCTTGCAAAACAAGAAGGCGAAATGCACGCGCACGTCGTCGCGCGCGCACTCCAATGTTTGTGTAAACCGAATCACGTGCCCCGAAAACACATGAAACACACATGGCTTGAAAACTGAGCCACAAA